CCTCAAGGTCAGGCATGCACGGTTGATCTTGAAAGGATTTATTTAACGTTCATGGCCGCCTTAAAGTTAATGAATGGCATGGCCTGTCGCGGTTTGGAACTGATATTCTTTGTAGACAGGCAAACAAATATGGCAATCTTATATGAAATACTGTACATAAAAATGAAATGCGAGTAAACATATAATTAATATGTATGACATGACTAACATTTTCATAGAAATGAAAAAATATACAGTACATAGGCTATCACACTGGGGTATACCAAATAATTGAGAGGGAAAATTTTTCAGGGAAAGATTGTGAAGTTTGTATTGAACTGTATATAATAAATGAATTCTGATATTTAATAAATGCAGTAATCCTTAACTTAAATTACATCTAAAACTGTAGAAATGATTACAGTAGACCCACTATAACGCGTAGATACGTTCCAGTTTATACGAATTTCACGTTGTAAAAATCCTTAAATACATAAGCCAATCACAGCCCGACATGTGTGAAGTTTACGGACTACGGCTGTTTGAAAGGTTTTCTTCCATAAAATTAATCAATTCTAGACTAATTCGACCCAACATTTCCAAAACACGCATAATTTTTTGGGAATAATCCGTATAAATTATGCTATAAACAAAAAATTGTAGGATTACTTACCGAGTGTGCACCGTTCGACGTCGCCATTGCTTACGGTACCTAATTTGCATAGTGTACAGACAGTAGTAAACACAACTTACCCGCCTAAACTCTCTGTAGCGTGACACTAGACGACAGAAAGTGTATATATATAATTATAATAAGGTTACAATAAATTAAGTTAATATATAATTATAATAAAGTTACAATAAATTAAGTTAATATATAATTATATATATAACTGTATATATAATTATATATACAGTACCTCCGGGAAAAAGTGGACAAACAAATTTTTACGAAAACGGATACATAAATCGTAAATTTAAGGAAAATAAATTCTAGAGCTTTTTCTGTACCTGGTGCATCTCTCTCATTCATTAAATTTAGTTGTAAATGAGGCTGTCAAAGTAACGGTTAATTTTTTAACATTATACAACAATTGTACACCTTTTTTCTACATTCCCTTAAAGATGGGATGTACGAAATCGTAATATCACTGGTTTAACATCGAAATCCGTGAGTAATATAAAATAGGAGAGCGGAATAAATATATCAAATATTTTAATGGATTTTTTAAACTCCCGTCAACTATACAGGAAGCTGTTTC